CGACTGTGGTTTCGATCGGTGGTTTCGATTTTGGGGAAATACCTGAAGCGAACGGCGACTGTGGAAGCAGATGGAGGGAACGACGACCGTGGAAGCAGTGGGATTATCGCAGAAGGAGATGGCGACCGGAAGAGCGACCGGAGATGGCGATCGTGGGGGGTGGGAGGCGATGTGAAGGAAGCGCTGTGTAAAGAGGGCAAATTTGGAAAAAATTAGATCTGAATGGTTGAGTGAAGGGTTGGACACAAAATGGTTAAGAGGGATATGTAACGATTAAGAGGTTTCATTTTTTGTGCCAAACACTCCAAACCTCTGGCCGATTAAGAGGCTCCCTCTTAATGTTACCATTAAGAGGGAAACAAATAGCCCCTTAATCATTCTGATCACTTAATCATTATACACCAAAACGTTCAACAATTGTCAAAAGACCCTCATATTTTCAGATTCATTAACCCATTTGAACTTTTCCTAGTTTAACACATGATGGAAAATTTTAACCAAATTTCGTTGGACAACATTTTTATTTTTCTATAAATAAATAAAATAAAAACAAAACACAAGTGACCTTTTAGTAGCGAAGCTACGCTACGTGTCATCCCACCGATATATACAGGCCAAGGAAGGTATAATCTTCTGCGGCCAGTTTACCCTTCAAATAGTCTACGAATAGCAGCTCACAGACATCCATCATTCCATCAAACAAACGAACGATCTTGATCTTTCCACGTGTACAATGAGATCCAGAGATGCTAATCGTGCAACAGACTATCTTTGATCTTTCCTTTAAACCAAAGCAAAAAATAACCCTCACTGCTTAGATCTCGCCGTGATCACCTTCCGTACAACTCACGCCGGACTGATCAACCGGAGATCATACGACCGCCGGTAAACTTCACCAGATATATGATAACCTTGTTTAAGTTCAATGTGTTTATGTAATGTGAGTTGTAAATCGATGGAACATTTAAGTTGCTTGATTTTGCTTAGGGTTTGACCTTTTTGTTAATCTAGTTTTGTTTCAGTATTTCTGCTTCAATTTGTGATTTGAAGTATAAGAAGCAAAATGTTGAATATATTTTGATGTGACAATTAAATGTTCATTACATCGATGAAGTGATCGGCTGAAGTTGACTTTTGAGGTTTTTTGTTTGCTTACAAGGATCAGATTAGGACATTGGAACATGAACATAGTTAGTACTAAGTAGAAATTATCTGTTAATCCTATATTTTAATGCTTAATAGTTGGTTTTCTGCGACTTAAAATGGCTAAAATCACTTTACTTTTATCTCGAGTTTAAGGTATCAAGTATGATTTGTGAATCCCATTGCGAATTGTTTGTTTTACATTTGAAATCGATTGGAGGAGAGTTGTTTTTGTTAACATAGTGTAGCATTGTAATTTAAATACTTATGTATATGATTTTAGTTTTCTTGAGACATTTGTTAAGAGATATGGGTGCATTTTGTCAGAAGCTTTGCTAAATAATTTAAATGGTTGCAGTTTTGTGAACAGAGAGCTCCAATCAACTCTACAAGATGGTATGCTCACTTCTTGCTGGTCAAAGTTTGTGCTGTTCACTCTTTCCCTTGCTGAGTTACTTCAGTTCTGTTTCTTTTTATGTCTTTATAAATTGTTTATATATTTTCATATATAGACTGTTCAGTCCTTCCCTTGCTGAGTTACTTCAGTTCTGTTTCTTTTTATGTCTTTATAGATTGTTTATGTATTTTCATATATAGAACACTTCTCTTCCCACAGATGTCCAAGGTTTTTATTTGAGTTAAAAGCAAGTTATGTCTCGGAAGAAGCATACCCCTACCAGATAGAAATGTAAAAAGGGATGATCAGACCTTCATAAAAGACACAGAACCATGATACACAATATCCAATGCAAAAATATGCATATAGTGATGGTTTTGACTAGGATAAACAGTAAAATTTATAACTATGGGAAGAAAGTCTGCCTGTATCAATTTGCGTCGGGCATTGGAAAGGAGCATGTTGTTTTGCATGTCGATGCAGATAATGCTTCAAGCATCTGGTCTGTGTATTGGCTTACTGAATTGCATTTACAACTATCTACCCAACTTTGGCGTTCCTCAACTTTGAACATCCAAAATAATCCCATTCATCACGACTCATGTATGCCAGCTAGAAATATTGCATGCTAGGCAATCTAAATTTGATGAGTGTTTCCAGGCTCTAAATTTGCTCAATTTCTAGCCCAGGGATGGTGTAAGCTTTTTTCTTGTTTACAGTTCAACATGCCACAGTCATATATCGAAGAGTTCATATTCAAGTCAACCTAGTTGCTTCTCTGTTCAATGAGAGTTACAACAACTTTTGTTCTGGGAAGTCCCATATTGCATAAGTTTCTATCTCGGAAAATTTTGAACTTAAATTAACTTATATCTGGAGATTTTTACCATCACAAAAGGAGTAATGATGCATTTTGGTTCACCAGAACATATTTTAATAGGAACACAAATAATCCACAAAGAACAGTCCACTTTTTCATGATGTAACGTGCATTCACTAAAGCAACAATCATTTTTGGGGCATTTGATTAGTGGTCAAATTTTTTTTAGTATGTGTTTTAAGTTATGCAAGGCAATTGTTGAGGGATAGAGGGTGTAATGGTTTGTAGACATGCAAATGTTTATCTCTAACTTATAAATGAAAAAAAATGTCAATTTGTTGGTCAACTATTGCATTGGCATAGGAAATAAAAAGAACTGAATGTACAATAGCTTTCGTGTAGGGATTTAGCATTTATGTACTTTGGGAGCCAACATTTTAGAGCTTTTTAAAAATGGTTGTACATGAGTTGGACATATGCTATTTATGCTATAGACGAAAATGCGAGGAAGGGAGTGGATAGGAGCAGAGGAAGAAGAAAATTTTATCAGTGTGTCAACCTAAACTGAAGCTTGCTTAAATCCAAAAGGAGCAAGACAATCAGAGGAGTGGGACAAGTAGTTCTAACTATTAGAGCGAAAGGATTCAGAAGGTGAAGAATTGATAGGAATGAGGAGAAGTGGAACCAGTGGGAGGAATGGAAGTCGGAGAACTATAAGCAGGGATCAAGCTAAGAGTGCACCAAAGCTTCCTTGAATCTAGAATGAGTAAGTTGCAAGCAAGCAGGGAAGAGGAGGGGAAAGAGAACGCGAAGGAAGAACTTATATTACATGAATATCTGAATGGGCTAAGTTGGAAGCAAACACACGGTCAATTATCTTGCATTTACCATCATCAAGGAGGCAGCACAACAGATTTAGTTCCCCAATTTGCGATAACTTTGTATGCTGTCATGGAAAGTGAAATTATGGGTGTAATTAGAGATCTAGTTATAAAGCGAAAACAAATAAATTAATGCCTAAATTTAGAGCAACCATGTAAAAAAGCTTCATAAATGAAACTTCAACATTCTTGCCCAGGCAACTCCAAAAGCAGCAAGGAGTCAAGGACATGGCTTTCTTTTCTGTATTCCATTTGTCTGTTCATTTGCGTGTTCTGGTTCAAAGAAATCTAAGCAAGTAATTATAGTGGTTTTTAGCAAATTCATGACTACAGGTGCTAATTGATTGTTCTTATTCTCTTTTGAGAAAATCTGAATGGTATCATTCTGAAATTACTCATCATCTTAGTCTTTCCAGAACAAGGACTTCTGGATATCAAAAGGTCCAGGAAATATAGGCGATGGTGAAATAGCTCACAGTAATTCCTCGAGAAGCGAGTCCAAGCGTTCTCAACAGTGGTTCATGGATGGTGCTGAAGCAGATTTATTTCCCAGCAAGAAGCAGGCAGTTGAAATTCCACACCCCAACTCCTACACTGCACTTCTAAACTCAAACATTTCTTCTTGGGGAAATCCTTCTAGTTTCCATTCTGTAGCAGGCCACTTCACGGAAAGGCTATTTGACAGTGAAACACCAAGGAGTACTAACTTTGATGATAGGAGCCTTCCATCAATGGCTATAGGCAGTATGAGTATGGGAAGGAAGGTTGTTGCTGATCCTTTTGGAATCGATTCCACATTTGGACTATCTATATCTCATCCGCTGGTAGAACCCAGATCTGGTATTAGTTATGGTGGGATAAGAAAAGTTAAAGTCAGTCAAGTCAAGGATGCTGAGGATTTTACATCTGTTTCCTTAGGACATGCCTATTCCACGGGAGATAATAGTACAATGACTGATCATGCTTATAGCAAGGTTGATGATGAGTCCATAACAATGGGGCTCTCTTTTGATAGAGGGAATGACAGCATGATATCAATGACTGACACCTTCCACAGGGGGGATACCAATTTCATATCAATGGCTGAACCATATAACAAGGCGGATACCAGTGAGATGCCGATGGATCTTCCCTACCGGGAGAATAATGGTTCTATATCTGTTGGTCCATCCGTCAGTAAGGATGATAGCAGTATTACAACGATGACTCAATCCTTTATCAAAGAGGATGAAAATAACATAGCTATTGATGCCTTCAATGAACATAATATTGCTTTATCGATGGATCAGGTTTTCAGCAAGGATGATAGCAATGTTACTTCACTGGGTAAAACTTTCGATGAAGGGATTTACAATACCATATCAATCAAGAATGCCTATGGTAAAGTAGATGATATAAGAATGTCAATGAGCAGAACCGATAGCAGTAGTTTATCCATGAGGCATTCTTTTAGCAAGGGTGGAAACAATATCATATCTTTTGGTGGATTAAATGATGATGCCGATAACTTGAATTCAGGAAGGCTTGTATGCAATTATGACTTTTTGATGGGACAACCTTCAGTTCAAAGATCTGAAGAAACTGGGTTGTCTGAATCTACCAGCGATGCACTTGTTAGTGCCTTACAAGTATCTGCCCCTGGAGATGTAATTTCAAAGAGAAAGGAGCAAAAAGCAACTAAAAAGTCTCCTCCAAACAATTTCCCTTCAAATGTTAGAAGTCTGCTATCAACTGGTATGCTGGATGGGATTCCAGTGAAGTATGTTGCCTGGTCAAGAGAGGTAGATGCTAATTGTCATGAGCTCCTTTCACATTATATATATGCATATATTTTTTTTTGCTGATGTGTAATAATTCATATGCATGATAGAAGGAGCTTCGTGCGGTCATTAAAGGTGCTGCCTATCTCTGTGGTTGTCAATCATGTACCTTTTCGAAGGTGAGCTTGTTGCATAAGTTCTTACTTATTATGGGAGGCATTTTGAAACCAATTTTTCCAGCCTAACAACCAGGTATTTGACATTTTAAGGCTATCAATGCTTATGGGTTTGAGCGTCATGCTGGTTGCAAAACAAAGCACCCAAATAATCATATTTACTTTGAGAATGGAAAGACAATCTATGGAGTTGTTCAAGAGCTGAGAAACACACCTCAGAATTTGTTGTTTGAAGTTATTCAGACGATAACTGGATCACCAATCAACCAGAAATCTTTTCGAATTTGGAAAGGTGCCCATTTCATAACTATTTCTCATGTAGTATTTTTCAGAAGTCCTATTTCCATTTATTTTAAGTTCTCACTTTAGTGAGAATCAATTTATCTTCATAACCATATCACTTTCCACTACAGAGTCATTTCTAGCTGCTACACGCGAGCTTCAGCGGATATATGGGAAGGAAGAAGGAAAAGTTGTGACTTAGAGCTGATTTTGTCGAGGTACGGCATGCTATTTCATGCAGGGTTCTACACACTATTTTAGATACGGCGTCATTCTTAAATATGTTATTGTCCTAATTATATTGGATGGTGGATGCAGCAAACAGTAAGTATCATCTAAGCAGAAACTTCGCCTTTATGTAGGCTATCTCTTATAACGCCCTATGTACATGTGGTTGAGGCCTGAGGGCAATGGATCCTTTTATCAAATCATTAACATCCTCTTAGTCAAGATAGGTAGATAAATTATCCTTTATAAAAACAAAATTTTCTGGGTAAAGACGATATTCTATTTAATAGTTTTACAACTGACACTAGCTTTTTTTCTCTAGATGTTAAACAGAGCGCTTTTGAAAAATTACCGCATGACAAAATAGTAATATTAGATACAGTACTTCAATATCTTTGTGTACATAACTACATATAGTAGGTTAAAACTTAAAAACCAATGGTTCAAAAAGCTACCATCTGTAAGAAAATTACATTGTCTCATACATTACGGTTAATGTCTTTGTTTGCTACCTCCTACTCCTTCCACCATCCATTCCTACCCCTAATCAAGAGAGACATATCCTTGTTTTCTACCACCTCCTCCATTGCTTTAAAGAGAGTTTGTATCGGGGATGAGATTTCTGATTAATTTTGCTTAATAGATGGATGGAGTGCCCGGAGCTTGACATTTACTGTTAGCATAAATCAGCCGTCTGACTGTGTTTATCGCATACTGTGTAATTGGTGGATATAACTTCATCTGATGCTTTGATGGTGATGACCTTGTTACAAGAATTTTCTTCAGATTCTTTAACCGGAATTTGCTTTTCTGGTGCTATTGGCTCACCAATAGAAAGGGATGAAAGCTTGTTATCCTTGCTTTTACCCCAGACAACGAGATAGAGCCCCACAACTATGACAATGGCTCCAATAACCCTGTGAGAATATAAATTAGCTGTCAGTTTTTTTTCACGTTTCTGGTAAATGAACAAGAATTGGGGAAAAATTACCTTCCTAGGTACGTTTTCTCAGCTAGAATAATGGACCCCATGATAGCTACAATTATCATGCTCAATGGACTGAATGCAGTCACAAAAACAGGACCTCTTTCTTTCATTATTATTCCTTGGATGTAGTAAGCGAGACCCGAACATATTATGCCCTGCATAAACATGAAGGAAGTTAGAGGGGTTCAATAATGCACACACCGCCTATTTATAGATGGTTATACCATAGTTATCAGTTTACACATTTCTGTCTTTTGGCACATCATTTATGTAGTAGTTTTGCAATCAAGCTCCAAAATATATAGCTGAAAACAGTAGGTGGCAATGTTGACCATGACTATGTTAACCAAGTATTAATGATTATGCGTTTTACGTTCTGATACATGGATTGTGGGTTAACATGCTTCTGGTGATTAGAGTTTAGCATAACAAGCTGGCAACTGAGATAGTGGTCCAATGAGTGAAATTTGTTCTAGAATTGATGATTATGCAACTTGTGAAAAGAATTTTAATGTAAATTAGTGTTCCTTACACTGTACAGTGTTGCTAGAAGTGTAGTGTCCCACTTTATAGCCCAAACTGCTGTTTTCCCTCTCTCCATAATCATTGCCACTATTGCTCCTTCTGCTGTTCCCAATAAGCATATCCAAGCTGTTAGAGAGAGCTCGGCTGGATAAGACTTTAGCGTAATTGCCTACGGATTGCACAGAAACACATGAAAACTAGGAGAGATATACTTCGCTATTATGTCTATCAAAATATATGGATCCTTACTTGTAGAACCATGAAGCAAGACCAACTGAAGCATCCAACTGTGATCATAATAGCACCCTTGAGGGAATGATGGAGATCTACCCCATTGTTTATGACGTTACTGTTAGTTCTTCCCTTTGTCCAAAATAGCTCTAAAATTGGGCCTTTCACCAGTGTCATAAGCATGGCTCCTGCAACTGTTGTAATTGTCCCGATTACTTTCGCTTGGCTGCGAATACTCTTTAGGTTCACCACCTCGAGCCTGAGACAAGCAAAATTCACCAATACTATTAAATTATTGTCACATGCTTACTGACAGACATTCTAAGGGGTTTTTTGGTTGGTTTTCCATTAATTCCTGTTTGGATAAAGCTGTCAGTGTGGATTAATCTGTCTGTATAGATTGGGAATGGTTTTTGTTTGTGAAGGGCTTTTCATAGATATATGGAGTGTTCTTTAATTGGGAGGGGCAGGTTTGGAAGAAACTTGGCTTTTTGCATAAAGCTCCCCCCTAGAAGCTTACTGAATAAGCCACTTTCTATATCATTAAGCCACTACCAAACAGTCATGTATAGCTTACCGAATAAGATGCGAGTCCCATTCAGCTCATTAAGCTGCTAACAAGCAGGTTCTAGTTCTAATTTTTCCACTTGAGTTTTTTTAACTTGCTTTTTTATCGTCTGAATTAGGAGTAGGATGAGGGGTGGAGGATAGATCTGGCAATCTTTTTTGATCTTATTGGTAATGTTGATTTTATGTGCATGAATAGGTTTTTGGACAGGAGAACACATATTTGGTATCATTTCCCATGTACATGTTTATATGTCCATCCGTGTGCATGTTTAGAGCATCTCCAACAGATTTCCTAAAATGGAGAAAATAGAGATTTTGAGGAATTTGGGTATGTTTTTTGCTCCAACAGATTCTCCAAAATGAAGAAAATAGGAGAGTGTAAAAATCTCCAAATTTGGAGAACACCCCAAAAATGATTACAATGAGAGGGAAATATTATTGAATATATATCCACCAATAGGAAACTTTGAAAATAAATATATAGAGAGAGAAATAATATTTTTATTAGATGAAAGGATACTTTTAGTAATATAATCCATGTTGTAATCGTAATCTCTAAAATGGAGAATCTGTTGGAGTTGAATATATTTTTGTTTTAGAGATTTTGAATTTTCATTCTCTATTTTAGAAAAAAATTGGAGAATCTATTGGAGATGCTCTTAGGCGGGTTCCAACAAGAACCGTAAATATATTGAGAACTAACTATTCATGCTTTAATGCTTTATGCATGATAATGCCATGATATATGTTCATGATGAAAATACATGATATTCATAATTGAAAAAGCATGATATCATGAATTATGAAAAATGTATGATATTCATGATGATTGGTATTCAGGGTTATTTATCATGAATATTACATGAAATAGTTGGTTCTGAGGTTCTCAAATATTTATGGTTATCATTTGGACTTTCCCCATTGCTTGTTAAATGTTTTGTCGTTGTTACCTTAAAATGCAGGCCATGACAAAAGTTATAGCAGGAAGAACATTGCACATTGAAACCGCAAATGTTGCTGTTGTAGCTTTCATCCCCATAAAATAGAGGTTCTGATCAATAACCGGCCTGCCAAAAAAGAGGCATGGAAGATCGTTATTTAATCATCACATTAGACGACTAACACAACTTTGGCTTAATATCGACTATCGAGAAAAACTTACTCCAGTAGTGCAAGCAGCATAAGCTTGACAAAGATCGAGAGGGTCATTTTTGGCCTTATTTTCCTGTTACAAAGATAATGATTAGTTAAAATTAAGAAATTAATACATATAGATGGAGGTTCAAGGGGAAACCCCCATAAAATGAAAAACTGAGGAACACCCCGTAACCCTTCAATAGCACGATATGCACATCTGCATACAAGTAAGTGGAGCTGTTTTTTGGATACTCTGCATGTGTGCATACCAGATAAATTGCTTACAAATTACTTCTATGCACATGTGCATACTTTCCAGATGAATGTTTACCAGGGTGCTCCTTAGTTTTTAATCTTTTTTGTGGTTTTCTCGTGAAACTGACCCAATACATATAACCATATAGATATAGAAACAAATTAGGAGGAGAGAAAGAGAGACTTGTCTAGAACGATTGCGAAAGGGGTCATGACGATAGTAGCAACAACATGCCGGTAAACAACAAATACGTAATTGCTCATCCCTTGATTCAGAGCCACTTTAGAAATAACATCCATTCCTGCAAGCCCGAACTGCAAGAAAATAACCGCTAAAAACGGCTTCCCCTTTCTAAAAATTTCGCTCATAGCCTCACTCGATACATGCTTATTCATTTCACTAGTTGTGGCAGCTTAAAAAAACACTTGTATTAGTTGTATGGAAATAACTAGCCTCTTATCTCTCTATATATAATATTTCTGCAGCAGTGAGAACAATCTTTCAAATACTTGCAATTTCAACCCCTGTTTACCCTTGTCACTACTTTATTATGCCAACATTTATTTATAATCTTTTAAATTGGAAATTTATTTAAAATATTCACCAACTTTCCATTTTGACCCTAGTTTTGGACTATAGTTATAACATCAATATATTTTGACTGTTTTGCAGGGAGGAGATTACGCAAATCAGTTCAATCGACCCTACCATAAACATTCGAGTTTTTGCAATATGATTTTTGGTAAGTTTTTCGTTAACCGATGTAAATTGTTTTTGGTAAGATGGTGTGATTTAAGATGATAGAAGGGTCAAAACTCTAAAGCCAAAACTCCTACTATTTTGGGATAAAAGGCTCGTTTTTCGTTGTGGTAAGAAGATTTTACGCTAGCACACTGTTCAACAATGATGAAGTTGATTACCCTAAAAAACACACCCTGCACGTTTTTTGTTTGCTGCCGTTTTCCTGTAAATCGAAGCCTATGACTTAATCAGGATAGTAGGGGTACCGAAAAGCATACTAAAATAGCATAGTTTGCCATTTGTGCTTTCCTCATAGGTAATGCACCATTAGAACTTTAGCTCGAATGTAGAATCTACTTTAATTATGTCTAGTATCTTTGTTTCGTTGATCCACTGGTATCAATGTTTTTGTTCTCCATTACTGTAACACCCTATAGCCCAAAGCAGCAGACCGACCCAATAACGTCCAAATAAATTTAGAACCATGGTAGAAGTTATTGATAGACCATAACTTCGAGTTTGTCAGGAGGTCATGAATCTAATTTAATACCCATGTGGAACGGGTTGTTACAATTACAGTATTGGTAGACCACATAACCCAAAGTAGCACGCTGACCCAATAACATCCAAATAGAGCTAAAACCATGGTAGAAGTTATTGGTAGACCATAACTTTCTGAGTTCATTAGAAGTAGATGACATATCTGCTTTTCTATCCATGTGGAATGGACTATTACAGTTACGGTATGTGTTTGTGTCCTACCCCAGAACCGTATGGTCCAGATGGATCATTTTTTTTTCTTTAGTTCTTGGAAAACAACGGACGCCCATGAGATGAACAAACTTTACGACTTTTATGACCTCATCATAGGATTTATCGCCCTTTTTAGAGTCGGTTGCTTGAAAAAGCATAGAACGGTTGTACTGTTAGCTTCGTATATAACATGGCTTGCGTAACGTATGTAGGGATTTTATATACGGTGTGATTTGTTGATAGGCAATAATGCAAAGTGAGAGTTGCGTATGAAAGCACTAAGAGGTGTTTCTACTGAAAAGCCACTTCTTTTTAAAGCTTTTTATGGGGTAGGGAATGGTATACCTCAAAATGTTGTCAATGGGTATTTTAATATGTTCTCCACGTAACTTACTACTTTCTTTTTCGTATGGTGGACGATGTGTCGATTATGTTGTTGCCTCGTTAGGAGACCTTTGCTTCGAGAGAAAATCATATTTTACTGTATGCGTGAGTATGGTCCGCGTGGACATGGACGTGGACGTGGACGTGGGCAGGATCGTGTGCCCTATGCTCGTTTCACTTGTCCAGGGTTCCATTGCATTTGCAAGCTTGACACATTCGTATCTTCTCAAGCTTGCACCTAGTGTACCCATTAGCAGGAGGATGGTGGGCGTTTATAAGGGTGCGATTGGTATTCGGGACTAGATGAGACATGACGATAACGGTGAAATTCAGCTAAAAACGAGTTGTGCATAACATGTTTTGCTCAAAAGGTCAAGGATGATTCAATTTGAAAAAAAAATGTTTTTTTTAAATAGGCATAATTGACTTTCCATCGGGTCAAATTGTGTTAACTTTTCCCTTTGATCAAACATGCGACTTTGTGGCTTCTGATCCACCTTAAAGGTGCACTCGTTCAAGAAAATTTTCGGGTCTGCCACTGACTGGTGCATAACATAATTGAATAGGAGTCTGGGATAAAAATCAAGGAGAGACAGACAAAATTAATAAATTACAAAACTACCCATGATGTCTCGTTGTTGGACTGGTGGGATGGGGTGCTCTCAAAAGGTGGTGTCTGCCCTTTTTTAAGAAACACTTGTGTATGGTCTCGTATATCCTTGCACGCATGCGCCACACCTCGTGTCATCCATTACAGAGTGCCCAATTTGTATGAGGAGTTGTAGGGCTTGTGTTCACGCATACGCACCACGAAACACACACATATGTGTTTATAAGTATGATTAGAATCGTAATCATTAGAAGTCACATACTACTGATTTATACGTAGTCTAGGTTTGAAAGAGAGATTTACGTCAAGTCATCCGAAGCTGTTAATAGAGTTCCCAATTCAGTTGAATGAATTGAATTGCTACCATAATTTGTTGTGTACGTATATACTCTATTTGGATTGATTTGATAAATACTCGTAACTTACTGGATAGAGTACTAGAACGGAAAGATCCATTAAATAATGGCTTATTGGTTGTTGACATCTTAAAAACGACATGTATAAAAATGGAATTGGTAGGATCGATGAACAAGTATGGTATTCGTCACATCTCTACATGTACGTACAATGATACGAGAATGATTGCGTTCGAGCATTCCTCGGTGATACTTTTAAAATAGAGAAGCAAAAGTCAAAATATCTATATCTATCTATATATCTATGACTTGGGATCATGTGAGATCACCATGTTTTTGTGACTCACAAGACCATATTTTTACACTTAAAATTTCACAGTGAATGTAACATTCATAGTGTTTTTGCTGTGAAGGATTGGATTTTTTTTATCTTCATAATGTTTTGCTGTGAAATTTCAAATGTGAGAAAGTAGCCTTACGAGTGTCACATAAACATGTTGGTCTCACAAAAACGTGGTGATCACACATGATCTCAAGTCATAGATATATGTCAAGGTTAATTTGCAATCCATGTAAATCTTACAACTTTTGCAACTTTCGTCTTAGTTGTTGGATAGATAAGCAGTTATTTTGTTTTTGTTTTTTTAATTGAAAAATATCGGGCCCATATCTATTTTAACCGTCAATCATGAAATTAATGGTTGAGTTTGGTTGTAAGAATCGTAAATTTTAAAGGGATTGTAAATTAAACCACCCCTATATATATATATATATATATATATATATAGAGAGAGAGAGAGAGAGAGAGAGAGAGAGAGAGAGAAAGAAAGATGAGCAATCAAATTCAAACCACCCATATTTGTACAAATCGTGCAAACCACCATCATCCGTCGATTTCATTTTATTTAATATTATGAAATTTTTTCATGAAATTATCTAATCTTATGAAGTTGTTTCATTTAATACTTTTTTTTTGATGAAGTTGTTTCATAATATATAATAATGAAAATGTTTCATATAATACTTATAAAATTTTAATGAAACTGTTTCATTTATTTTTCTAAAATTAATATAACGAAGATGATAATATTTATGATTAACACCCTCCACAAAAAAAATGATTAATCAACCTCTCATAATTACAAAATAAAAATAAAAAACTATGATTGATTGAATAAAATTTATACGATTTATACAAATAACATGGTTTACAAAAGGGAAAATTGCATCAAAATGGAACCAACATTCACATGATTCCTATTTTRGGGAACGAACTTTCAAAATCGTCATTTTGGGGAACCAACTTGCACCTAATTCCTATTTTGGGGAACTAACTTGCAAAATAATTATAGAAAAATGGGAAAATTACACCAAAATGGAACCAACTTTCACTTGATTCCTATTTTGGGGAACCAACTTTTAAAATCGTCATTTAGGGGTCTCTATCGAACTTTTTGTTTATTTAAGGGTCTGATTGATCTGTTGAACAGGTAACAGATAATTTAAAGGTCTCTATCAAACTTTTGGTTGGATTTGCCAAATTTGATTTAAACTTTAATATTGACACAGATTGGTTAGATATAAAAATCTTGAATGTGATATTTAATATTTATTTTTTATTGCATCAATTAATTTTTCTATTAAATTGATTTTTTTATTGCATTAGTAAAAAACAATTTTTATCGTGGTAATTTGAATTTTTTTCGAAAAATTATCAATTTGATATCTGAATTTAAAAAACGAGATTTGAAATGAAAAATAGATTTTATTGCATTAATTTTTGAAAAGAAATGAATTTTAGTTATTTTTCTATAATTATTTTGCAAGTTAGTTTCCCAAAATAGGAATCAGATGCAAGTTAGTTCCCCAAAATGACGATTTTGAAAGTTGGTTCCCTAAAATAGGAATCAGGTCCAAGTTGGTTCTCCAAAATGACTATTTTAAAAATTGATTCCCTAAAATAAAAATCAGGTGAAAGTTGGTTCCATATTGGTACAATTTTCCTTTTACAAAAATAAACCTCATATCTTTCTCTATATAAAATGTGGGAAACATATCTAAAACACAATGATTTTGAAAAAGTTGAGATGATTCCTGTTTCCTCCAATAACAAATAAGTTTTGAATACCAAACAAAAGTTGTTTTTTAAATAATTAAAAAAAATACCTTTTTATTTCCATTTTTTAATTATTTAATTAATTTATTATCCATCCATTAATTGTTACTTTTGTGACATTCGCTTTTCAATCATTTCTATTGGTTTTTATTTTTATTTTTATTTTATAGTTTAAAAATTGGGATGAGTGAGAATAATCATGAATTCCACCAAAAGAAGGTCATTGTCAAAGATATTTAAATCAAAAAAGTATTTATTATTATAACTTTAAAAAATGTAAGTTTAAACGTGTGGTATTGTTTTGTATTTTCGATAAGTTACAATAAGAAGGGATCTTCATTCTTGAATTAATTTTAATTGAAGATCAATATTAATAAGATGTATTGAGATGCACCTCGTATCAAGTGCAATTCATGGGGTGGGAATAAGATTATACGTGATCAAGGGTCCTTAAATCTTTTCTTGTACTTCTCATCTTAACTCATATTCTCATACGATCATTCGTTTGTTTTGTAAAGGGATAGTGTTTATAAACGGCTTAATGTGTAAAGACATGTTTGTTAGTGGTTTCATGAGCTTGATGAGACTCACAGCTTATTTGGTTGGTTATATATAGTTGTGTGTTAGTGGCTTAATGATATAAAAAGTGTTTTGTTTAGTAGGCTTCTAGAGGAAGTTTTATACAGAAAGTCAAGTTTTTTTTTCTCCAAACCTATCCCTCCGAATTAAAAAATATGTGAATTTCATCTATACAGACAGACTAATCCACACATCTTATTTTATTTTTTAGAACTTAATGGAAAATCAACCAAAAACCCCTCTAAGTATTTACCGGCAAGAATTATCACTCTTATGTATTTTATTGGATAACATTCTCGGTCATTAAAATAGATTTTTGTAAGCGTCTTTTACTCGGTAAGTAAGAGTCTTTTCCCTTACTTACCAGGTAAGATTCTCATTATTAAGCTCTTATCGGGTAAAATTCTCGGGTCTTGTCATGTTCACCCGATAAAGTAAGTAACAACCAGTAAATGCTTGATCCATAAGCCTTTGATAAGCTGCCCCTAAAAACAAATATGCATCTATTCTTAGGGTCGTCTTTTTCCATTAATACCTGTTTTGAAATATGCGTAATGTGAACATCGAATACACGATCACTTTTTTAACTCGGTGATTTTCAACATTTTTTTATCACCGAGAAAAAACAAACATTGCTTAATAATTGAACGAAGTAGTCAAAGCTTTTGCATACAGAAGAAACAAGTCTTATGACTCACTCTGTATGGATAAAGCCTATGAGTCTAGGATTAAATATCATAATAACGTAGTATTTTATCAGTTATTAAATACACGTCAATAATTAGAATCAGTATATTTACTGCAGTTAAGATTCCAAATCTTTTAAAATGAGTCGACAAAAATTTGGGATCGTTTTGGGTGGTGATGGATGAAATACGCATAATTCTTGTTTGTTTCTCTGTTCTTTGTGGTGCCTGATGTCTTTAATTTCAATAATTAATCACAAGGTCTAGATTCATTTTCTGTCTTCATACAGTCTGATCTGAACAAATGATAATATTATTTTCTTTAAGAAATACCTGTAAAATGATATTATCAGTATAATTATTTTTTCTTTGTGGTATCTGATGTCTTTAATTTTAGTAGTTCATCACAAGTTCCGTATTATTTTCTGTTTTTCATACATAAATCAGTACGTTTTTTTCTTATAAAAATGACCCGAATGTAAGACATGATATTACCATCAAATTTCAAAATTCGAAACCTTGTGTTTATTGACGTGTTACTAGCATTCGGATCAAATACATATAATTCTTTTCGTTTCTCTTCTCGTTTTTGTATCTGACGTCTTCAATTTCAGTGGTTCATCGCATGGTCCAGATTCACCTTCTCTTACAAAAATAGCCTCATATAAGATACGATATTACCAACAAAACTCGAATTTGAAACCTCGTGTCTTTTTCTGGAAACCGTCGGTTTTCATGTCTGCTTACGTCACCGACTATTCCATGGGCACCCACAAATGACCTGGAGTCATCGCAGGTGAACCTTCATGGCCACAAGGACTTTGACAACACCTGGATTATAACCCAGAGTATATGAGATTTTCCACTACATCGTCTGGAGACTTAACCAGTACACCACAACCCAAATAGTTACTTCATGTTTAATTGTTTTCATTTCCCTTTTCTTTGTGATATTTAACGTCTTCAATTTCAGTAGTTAATTACGAGATCCAGATTCATTTTCCGTCTTCAAACATATCTTAACAACGATAATATTCTTTTCTTTAAAATATAACATGACAGAATACGATGTCATTATCAATATAATTCAAGTTCGAGGCCTCTTGTTTATCGATTGGTGTATTCGGATTCGGGGGGTTAGTTTGACTAAACGACGTAGTTTTGGTGTTGTGCGAGAGAATCCGCAATAAAAACGGGGCTACGAGAATCCGCATCTCCCAATCACATCAAACTCAATCTCCTCTTTTCCCCTTTTAAAAATGGAGTTTATCTATTAAATAAAACTTAATTTATTATATTCATAATGAATTAAACAAAATAAAAATTAATTTATTATATTCATAATGAATTAAACAAGATAATTAAATTAAATAGAAATTAATTTATTATATGAATTAAACATTTATTTTGTAATAATCAATTAATAGATCAGTTATTTTTATAAAGAAATGAATTTGATTCTATTCTAAATTGTAAAAATCAAATATTCCAATTTTTTCAATAATGATTCCGTCAAACCAAACGACCCACAGGAATGGTTTTGAGAATTTAGATTTTGTGGAAAGGTTTGGAATACTTTGTGAGTTTGGTTTATAGGATCTGCAATGGAATTTAATTCCATTTTTTATAAATAATTTATAAAAAATTACTAATAATTAGTTAGCCTTTTTATTAATTAATTAATTATTACAAAACAAATGTTTGTAACATATTTTAAAACGTTATCTCATACAAATTCTATGAAATTATGTGAAATACCAATCACATCCATGGGGTTTCGAAATCCTACGTTTGTGAGATTTGAATGAAATTATGAGATTTCAAATACAAAAAGTCCTTCAAACCAAACATGGGACTGAAGTAAAATTTAATCCCAAATCCAATCTAAGGGGTTATTTACCAAACATTTATCCGGTAAGTGTTTATCGGTAAATTTTAATACTATTATTTATTACCAGGTAAGATTTTAGTCCACCAAAACAACATTGTATGCAACAATTTACCCGGTAATCGCTTACCGTGGTAAGAGTCATCGTTCTCATTCACCGGATAAGACTTTTGGTCCTTGTCTCACTCTTACCATGTAAGATTCTTGGTTCTTACCATATTCATTCGGTGAGGTAATGTACTTGGCAAGCGCTTACCCGCGTAAGCATTTGGTAAACGGCCCCTATTTCTACAAATCACACGAGATTTATAGAAAAACTAGTTTAAAAATCAAGAAATGTATACACAAATTTTTATAATTTCCTAAATCGTTTTATTTAAAAAAATCATTATTTTGATCAAATTATTAGAAGTCATCTACCAAATGCTTACTCGGATAAGTGCTTATCAAATTACATTTTCTTGTCGGATGAATATGGTAAGTATCAAGAATCTTACCTAGTAAGAGCGAAAGTACGGACCGAGAGTCTTACTCGGTAAGTGACGATCACGACTCCTACCATGGTTAACGCTTACCAGGTAAATTCTTACATACAATGTCATTTTGGTAAACTAAAATCTTACCCAATAAATAAGCAATAGAGTTGAATTTTACCATTAAACGCTTACCAGGAAAGCGTTCAGGTAAAATTCAACTCTATCACTTACTTATCGGGTAAAATTTTGTCTACCAAAACGATATCATATATAACAATTTATTTGTTTGTAGTTATCCACAACAATGTATTTTAAGAATATTCGTGTCAAGTTTTATAATAATTATTTATATCAATAAAATATTATATATGTATGTAGCGTCACATTAAAACTTATTTTATTGATTATTGTGTTGTCCACGTGGCATTTGAAATGGAATTGCTAAATTTGAAAGTGGTTTCAAATTCCTTTTTAAGGGGTAATTCGGTAACCGAGGATTTTCGGGTCAACTAACACTCATCGTCTAACCTCTTGAACAACGACGAATAGTCTGGAGTCATTGTAAGTGAATATCCATGATTAGAATGAGTTTAGCAGCACCTGAATTTGAACCCGGAAAAGATGAGATTCCCACTACACACCCCCCCCCCCTGCAACTTAAACTTACGATAGTTCTACGCTCCCACCCGCAACAGTCCCACAGTCATCATGGAAGAAGTAAATTAGTAGACATCCCAAGATGCCTAGTGAGGCATGAAATCTTACGCATGGCTCATTTTGCCGGTGAATACGTGAGACAAGATGACACAAGATAATACAAAAAGCTGTCACATCTGACACAACATTAGACCGGAACAAAACAGGACGAGTGGGACAAATCCATCTTTTGCCCATCAGATTAGATGGGCCAAAAATAAAAGAGACATGACAAGATTGATAAATTAATCCTAAAACCTTTCACAGGTTTTTCTTTTTTTTTTATTAACCTGGATATCCAACCTGCTATGCGAGCCGGCTAATCCCAGGACGACCACCTGCTTTGCAGATAGCCCGGAGTCACCGCATTTGAACCTTCGTGGCCACAAGGGGATTTTTATTCCTCCTTGGATTTGAACCTAGGACCTCCTGATACTTTTGACCTTTGGAGCCAAGCTCAAACCAATCAGGCACCACAGTATGGTTCAGTTCTTTCACACCTATCTGACTCTCAAAATACAATCATCCTATCAAGTCCAGTCCTCTCTCGCCCACATGCCAAACGGACAAAAATCACCTATCTCAAATTCCAACGTCCCATTCATGTCCACCAATCACATGAACACACATCATGTCTGATTGGTTGGATAAGGATGAGACATGTGAATTTGTGACAACATATACCAAACAAACCCTAGAAAAGGAGATAATAACCTCCTAGGGCTCTAAACAAGATGCTTGAGTTGAGATGGATGGTAAATTTGTCCACTTGTGAGGTTGATGTCCAATTAGAGAGTCACAATGCAATAAACAAACAAAACCCATCAACCAAAAAGGTCACAACTTTATAACTTTGAATTATTAAGCAGCAAAAACCAACATTATTGATAGACTTTATATCTTCATAATAGTTGCAACTAGTCATTGACCATCATCCTTTTATTGTTCCCTTTTCTTGCTTTTTCTAAAGATTAAATAAACCAGCCAAGGTTTTGTATGACAGTGATACATGGAAAAAAAAACAGATGTGATATTTAGACGATGATCGACAACTGAAAACGACAAAGAACGATAGCATGAATTCATTTCTGATCATGCTAACAACTTTTCAAAATCAAAACGTGAAAACTACTGAGAGAGAAAGAAAGGAAGTACAATGGAACCTTTGATTGAGAGCCACAACATGCTGATTTCTGAGCAATCGGAAAAAATGTGGATGCTGATGCAATCGGCAGTAACGGGTTTTGTAATTACTAGCCACAACATGTTGATTTTTGGGCAGCTTCAGAAGTCCCGGCTGCCTGCTCCTGTTTGTTAATCTTAATAGTCTGAGGCTGCAACAAAAGAAAATTAGAGAATAGGTTGTGATTTACCAAAAACACCTTGGGTTGCAACCCGATCAAACAAACCCAGTAAATCTCATACAAAGTAAAGAGGGGAGGCACACATGAAATGATATGGTGGCACGGCCCACTGCTTCATGGTTCCCTCATAAGGGGAAAAAACTACGCTTCTGAAGGGTGCCACCGTATTGTTTTTGTTAGGTGTCACCGTATTGTTTTTGAAACTGAAATGTTAACACAAAATTTTATGGCTGAGATGGTAGACACTCCTGCCTTTGTATAAAAGGCCCGGGTTCGAGTCCCACTGTTGTCAACTTTGTTGGTTTTTAGCTTAAATTTTGGTGTCTTTTTATCTCTTGTGTTTTTAAAACTATACTTAGACAGGACTTGAACATGGGTCTCTTGATCTCTTCTATGTAAAGACAATGAATCAATCAACAGATCTATACTAATATTGTGAACAAAATAGATATTTTTTTTAAAGTCAAATTGTGCCACCACTTGAAAAAAAATTGGGTCCGCCTCTAGATGATAGGTCTGAGGAAGGTAGGATGTACACAGACCTTTCCTCCACCCTGAAGGATAGAAAAATTGTTTATGTAAAGACCCTCAGCTTGCAAAAGAAAAAAGAAAGAAGAGAGCAAGCTACAGGTGTTATTGGTCCTTATTATTGAAGGCAAATTGCATGAAAATGTAACATACTCTGCTTTTTGGGTAACCCGAGGGTTTCCAAGCAGGGACTAATCCCCCAGGCAACCACGAATTGCCTAGAGTCATTGCAAGTGAACCTCCATGGCCACAAGGGCTTTGACAGCGTCTGGATTTGAACCCGGGGAAGATGATATTTCCATTACATCCCCTGAGCCTTAACCAGTGTGCCACAAGCCCACCGAATTGGTTGTAACGTACTTTGTTCTGATTGTTGTTTTGTGTAATGTACTTTCAAAGCCTTCATTTTTGTACCTTAGATGTGATATCCCAAAATTTAGACCAAAGTACGTTACACAAAATAGGAATTGACCAAAGTACGTTACACAAAATAGGAATTGACCAAAGTACATTATATTATCAATGCATTCTCAAATGAGAACTAGGTACCTAATTGTTTGAGATGTCTCATCTAAGGTACTAAAATGAAGGTTTTGAAAGTATGATGCACAAAATAGGAATCAGACTGAAGCACGTTGCATTTTCATACAATTTGCACTACGATTGAAACAACCCCACCAATGAATTCAGCCACCTATGTAAAAACCAAAGGCAATTTTGAAGATAAAACCACATGTCAATGTACCTCAGCCTTTGAGTCGGTTTCGGAGAGTCTTTGTTTTATGTCCCTAGCTATAGTGAAGAAGACCTCCTCCACATTCATATTTGTTTTTGCACTCTGTTTTATGTTGAAAAGCAATTTCAGTATGTATCCAAATGGATCCAACAATGGTACAACATGTACTTACAGTCTCCAGAAATTTCATTCCATATTCATCAGCAAGTGCCTGACCTTTTGAGGTAGGAACAGCCTGGACAATAAAGTGGAAGATGAGGATGCAAATAAGTACATCACACAAATATGGTGGGTGGGTGGGTGAGTGGGTGGGTGGGTGTGGATGTGGGTGTATAAGCGTATATGTGCATGTATATATAGGGGAAAATTTCAAATGTATGTAGATATATGGGGGAAATTTCAAATGAGAACCATGTATATTTTGAGGTCTTGGGAACCAACTATTGATGCATTATTCATGATCAATAACCCTGAATATTATTCATCATGAATATCTGTCACAACACTATCATGAAATAGAGCATGAATAGTTGGTTCCCTGGTTCTTAAAACATTTACGAATCTCACTTGGACCTGTCCCTATACACACACACACACACGCATATAACTTAATCATATACATGCATAGAGAGAGATAGAGAGCAGACCCTCTGACTTTCATCCATGTCAGCCTTGTTTGCAACCAGTATCTTGTTTACGTTATCAGATGCGTGTTGTTCTATGTTCCGGATCCAATTCCTGATGTCTAGACATAATAAAAATAAAAATTAATCAAGAAAACAAAGCAAAGATGATGAAAGAATGCCCAACAACCAGAAAGATGTATGGCACTGCAAAAATCCAGAAGTGGGGAGGATAAAATTAGCCGAAAGGAAACAAAGATGTAATCTTTCCTTCTGCATAATAACAGGGAAAATATATATATTTAAAGAAAATAATTGAAGCATGGTTGCCAATGCTACTAATGAGAACAGAGATGTAAGCAATTACTGTTAAAAGATGCCTCATCAGTTACATCATATACCAGCAGAATACCCATGGCTCCACGGTAATAAGCTGCAGAAAACCAAGATTAGTCAAGACATGCAAGATTAGTCAAGACATGCACCACATTGAGATAAAAAACTACATTCTATTAATCCATGATAATTGTATACAAAAGTATGATGGTACAATTGCAAGCATATACATATTCGTGGAATGAAGGCTTTCTAAGAAGTAGGCAAATGAGAAGTACACATTTATCTATTATTCTGTTATTGTCACCATAATCATTGCTTCATTTGCTGTAAACAATAATTCTTTTGCCAATCAGCTCCTGAATCCTCAACTATAGAATCATTGTGGGGAAACTGAATTTTGTGTACTTGTTCAGTGTAAAATAAAGCATTTGTGAAGGTGGCACAGGAAGCTTTCTGCTATTTACCTATCGGAAAGTGAATATAACATAAATATGCGAGTAGATTTATCACCTAAGAAATCACCCTTTAAACTGACATAGAACATGTTGGAAAATAAAAGAATACAGGTCAATGGTGCACTGCAATTAGGAGGCTTTTAAATTTTTTATACAATTTAGAAGTGAATGGCCCCTTAATCAAGAAAACATATAGATATTTTTAGAATTAGTAAATTAGTGGTATTGAAATATTTTCCCCAAGGTCCACAAATTGATATTATTTAAACCCAAGGATTTCATATCCTTCCTTGCCTTTTGATACATGTTACGTTTAGCGGTCATAATTGACTGATCTGGAATAAGCTGGCTGTGCACAGTTTTGAAAATCCAACGACTGAATTATCGTGGACTACACTGGCTTTGGGATCCAGGCTTGATGCTTCAAGAAAGTTCGAAACCAATCTGCACTTGGTGAAGATTTGGATTCTTCAACATGGTATGGACAAAAGCTTAGTAAAGGTCCAAGAAATGGTTGCCTTCAACTTCCACTCACCTGGTTTCAATGAGGTATGAATCCTCTTTTCACATACATACTATCGATACATCTATTTAATTTGATATAGGTTATTGGACATGTTCCCTCCCTTGCTTTCCAATGTTGACAGATTCTTGACCTAGCATCACAAATATAAAATAAATATAAACCGAGCCACAAGATCTTTTAAACTACTCAAGGATATAGATTTTAGTTTCGACTAACACAGATGAATAAACTCTGCAGCTTACTACTCTTTACAAGGGTACATCCAAATTCTTACAATTACATTGGATTTCATATAAAACACGTGGTAATATGGTATTTTGCATAGTTTTTCTTATATAGTACTCGACAAATTTAAAACACCACATGTTCTATGATGTTCAGATCTGTGATTGTAATACACAGATTAACTACCAAAATACTTGTCCCTTAGATTTACTAGTTACATGCTGCAAGCATCTTTTCATTACATTACAACATTTGGCATACCTCAATCCTGAAAAGCAGAAAGATTCTTCTTCAACAGACTTACCAGTTGTGATTGTCCTGAATCGCTCCTGACCAGCAGTGTCCCAGATTTGCAGTTTGATTCTTTTTCCATCAATCTCAACAGTCCTTATCTTAAAATCAATACTATACAAGAAAAAGATAACATTGTATGTGATCATTATGCTCAGATGCAACTCGAAGTCTATTTGTTATAACTAACAGGCAATTAAGCCTTTATTAAAAAAAAGGCAACCATGGATTCGAATACGAACCCAATAGTTGTAATGAAACTAGTGGTGAAGGAACCGTCTGAGAACCGTAAAAGGAGACAACTCTTACCAACACCTGCAACAATGATTAAACACAGAAAAATAAGTGTCTAACAAAAGTTATTATCTACATTGCCCATGTATACACATCAGCTGCAAAAGATTGGAGAAAATTAGATCCTATGTAATAAAAAAGCGACGCGCAATATGGTTTTAACGCCTATGGTAAGGCACTCTAACATGAGGTCAGTTGCGGGTGCATGTCTAATTTGCTATGCATAAGTAGTTTCAATTTCAAAACAAATGAACATAGAAACTTTTGGTTGTATATTGTATTCAAGCAGAAAGTTTTAAGATGTTCCAAAAAAGTTGCTCTATATCAATTTCTAGGGAGATTTTAGCAATTAGATGAGCTTACAAGTAGCATCTTATTCAACACATACCCAATAGATTAGTCCAAGTGTTGGATGTTCATAATGCGTCTACATCATTCTCAAAAAGTTCTTTGTGTAGCTCAATTATGAAAAATGAATAAATTCAAGATTGAATGGGTGGATTCCATGAAATAAACTCAAGAGTTCAGGTACTTGATTACTAAGCCCCATTGCAATTCTTCACTAGGAAAGAATCTCCTAACAGATGAGTTGCATCCTGTGTCGCATAGGTGTGGGGGCAGTAGTGCAGGTCCATTGCTTGGAGGTAGGAGATCCATTAAAGCCTAAAGGATAGGCATGCTATAGTGGTGAGGTGCAAGGAACATTTCATGATTAAAAATACATACATACATGCATACATACATATATATATATAATGGTAGTTGAAAAATATTAAATAACTATGTGATTGCTTTTGCATTAGAATTTTTCATAAGAGTGTTCTTAGTTATAAATAGTATCATATTGGGGATGGTTGAAACTTTTATAAGCCAAAGGGTGTGCTTAGTACTTTATAAAGTTGTCAGTAGAATCCCTCAAAGTTTCAGGAAAACTTCTACTTGCTAACCCTGAACAAAAGCAGAGAATCATAAAACTAGAGTTGACTTACTTAGACATGACACAGAAGAAGAATAAATGTCAAAGTAATGAACAAGTAGAAGACAACAACAAAGAGATGATGCTGAGAACTGTAATTTTGACTGGTACCAATCTTCACATATCTCTCTCAAACAATTATGGATGCAAATGTTGGTTTTACCATTTTAGGCGGCTGCCATTGCTGCACTCAAATGCATGAATGAAAGGTCCACAGTGGAAGGGACAATATTGACCAAACCTGGGATGCGCCAGTGGTGGTGACATGGGGTTCCTGCACCCAAAAGGTAGCAACTTCACAGAAATAGGCACCACCTGGGCCGCAGAGGTTGTGCTTTCTACAGATACAGAGTGTTACAATTTCCAGAAAATTGATAATGAGGCATAACACTGAGGTTCCATGGATTCAGCTCCAACTATTGTTACTTGAAACAGCTCATATCTTGATGAAAGAATGTCAATGTCCTCAGGAACCACCAATATAACATAATCCATAAATTGCTTCAAAATAGCATGTGATCTCGACAAAAGAAGCAAACACCAAGGACAAAACGAGAAAAGGGAGTTGATCTTACACTGCGACAATAGACTTTTCCACTCTTTGCACAATCATACATTGATGAAGAAATGATTTTACAATAAATTACCAAGTGAAACAATTTTTTAAATAATATATTCCCATGGGATATGGCAGCGAAAATGAAGGTTTCTTCTCCTCTTTGCTACACCTACAAATTTCAAAAATCTCAAATGTTCTGCGGCAATACAAGCTAAACCACTGGGTCAGTGAAATTTGAATGCTTCAGGTTATAGTAAACTGATTGATTAAGCTGCTCTAATGTCTCGATAAATCTAAGTTCAAATTAGTACCTACAGGTACATGAACATCCTACTTGTTTTTCTTCGGGAATGTTAGCAAGTGTAAAATGATTCGAATCCTATTTGCCCATCTATGTTTGCCATATTAATGAAAAGAATGAGAAAATCATTGCATTTCAACCATAGGGAAGAAAATGGCCCTCATGCATGCGTATTCCAAACAGTTATCTGCAATCTCATCCGAATCACCAAATGGAGCATCACCATTACCCCTCCTTCCCCATGTCATCGCCAACGGAAACAAAGGGAAAACCAAGAGATCCAACAAAAAGCTACACAAATCTCTCCGACATTTCCAGATGACGAAACATATAATCAAACAAAAACGCACGTAAAACGATATTCATACAAAGAAATGGAGAAAAATGCAAAGGTAAGTACCGCTGTCGCCGATTAACAGAAGCTTAATGAGGAAATCATAATCCGCTCGAGCTCTAGCTGGTGGAGCAGCCATTTGATCGATTCAGAAGTAATCAGATTGACCAAAAACCCTAGATAACTGACGATTTCTTCCGATCTTCTTCCTCTAATAACACATTGGGGAAATGCAAAACAGAGAATCAATTGAATCCTGAATCACAACAACAAATATGTATGCGTATAGCGGTATATAGATACAGAAATTTGTATGTATAGATTTCCCAGATGACAGAGAAAAAGAGAAAGAGATGTTTACACATGTGAGATAGAGAGAAAACGAGGAGAAAGATGGGAAACGTCTGTAGACGTCAGCACTGGTCGGCCGTTGAATATGATTTTTATTTCTATTTCTATGGCTTTGGTAAATAAATGAAAGTTGAGGGGTCAAATTGTAAATATTTACTACTTAGAAATTAGCATTGCCAAATAAGAAATTCACCGATCAAATTTAATTTTTTAGAAGTTATTTGTTTATCTTTTAATAGTTTTATTAACAAATGAATCTTGTTTGGTAAAAAAATAAGTTTGTCTTTTAATGGTTTTAAAACTCTTTAAATGATTTTATATCATAGGTCTACTTTAACCATTCAGTGTCTTAATTTCATTGTAAACAACAATTATCAAACAATTATATTTCATTTTGCTCTATATCATAAGAGTCTCTTCATCATTTTGACCACTTAATCATTCTGTACCAAACCATTCAGCAATTGTCAAACAGTCCCTAAGTCACTTTTGGACTCAAATTCTTATTTTCACCTGAATTTATGTAAATGTCTTACTCATTTATGGAAAGCTTATTTGTAGATTTAAAAAGAAAAAATATAATTTTTTTTTTACGTAAATGGGGATTCTTATGCAAATTTACGTTAAAAAATTTACTGTTTCTAATCTGAAAGTCGAATTTAGGCAAATGCGTAAGGTATTTGCATAAACTCTGGCTAAAATGAGAATTTAATTGAAAAAATGACTAAAAAATGAATTTGACGTTCGATAAACACAAAAATAACATTATGTGTTTATTATCGGATATGATATGTGTCATCATGAGTTTTATATGTGAAAAGTTTCAGAATCCTTTTAAGGAGGGGGAATGACGTATGAGTGTATTTTTTTAAGTGTATAATATTTATATACAGTGAATGTAACAAAAAAAAACTCACACACCCTTCTCACCTTTAGTGAGGTTTGAACCTTTGACCTTATAAAATGTCAAAGACTACGATACTGTTAGGCTAAATGTCATTTGGTATGACGTATGCATATTGATGTAGAAAGGGAAACCATAACGATTGAGTTCCATAAATCGATATGATACCCTTTTTCGTTATGAATTATGTGGACGAAATTAACTCAAAAAAATACAGGCAGAACTTTTTGGACACATTCTTGTTCAACTTGGCGTAGATACAGTATAGTAGGTACCGGTCCCTACAGAATAAACTGATATGTAATTATTTTTGGATCTCTAGTTTAAATCTGTATTTGAATTTTTAAAAAACATTATGTTGTCTTTTTTTTTTTTTGTCAAAATTATTCAAAATATAAATTTTTAAATGTTTAGTAATTTTAAGAATGATTTTTAAAATTTAGTGATCCAATTAAAAACCAAGTGAGTAGAAAAAATAAACACTAATTTTGGAGCAAATTAAAAGGAAAAATATGAAAACTTATGGATTGTTTTGGCAGTTGTTGAATGGTTTAGTGCAAAATAGTTGAGTGGTTAGAATAATTAATAGACTCTTATGATGTAGTGTAAAAATGAAATATAATTGTTTGATAATTGTTCAGAATGAAATTAGAGCGTTGAATGGTTAAGGGAGACCCAAGATACAAAACCATTTGGAGGGTTTTAGAATCATTAAGAGATATATTTTTGTTGCCCAACAATATTCAAATGTTGTCTCTTAATGAAACTATTAAAATGTAAACAAACAGACCCTTATTTTGGAAACAAATGAGATGGCATACATGTTTTTATTTTTTATTTTTTATTTTTTATTTTATGGAGAACGTTATATGCACATCTTTTATGTCAAAATCGGATAAAATCAAACATTGAAACTGTAAAAAGAATAATTATTGTTGTCGATGTATATATGGAAATTAAGCATCTCCATAAGAGGTTTTTAAAAGAACCTTTTTTTTTGTACTTTTTGTTGTCACCCCACTTCCAACTGATCAAATTAAAACTCACATAAAAGTCCATAATGGTAGTTCTTAGGGCATCTCCAACCCAACAACTAAAAATACTAAAAATTGTGGGTTCATTGAACACTAAATAAAATAAACTACAAGCACGTACTAAAAACCATCTTTAATACTGTAACTAGTAAGAAACCCAGTGTGATGCTGCGGTGCACATCTCGATCTAAAGTTGAGAACATAAAATGTCAATCATGTTTCATTTTTTTCTCTTTTTTGTCCATTCCGACACTAGTTGTATACCCATACAATGTAGCTGAGTCTAAATTTTGAATAGATACCTTGTACAAATAGGTTTTTACCAAATAAAGTTTATATATGTTGATCCATTTTATATATTTTTTATGTTAAATGTGAGGTAAAATAAAAATAAATTAATGTTAAGGCAGTAAAAAAACATGTTTACCTGTGTTAAAATGATATGCGGGAATCTTCCTCATAGTCATCGGTTCTATTTTTTCCAAGACGCTTAAGACTAAGGGTCTGTTTGTTTTTTCAAAATTACCTCTTAATACCTCTTAAGTCTGATTCGTTCAGACGTTTGGATGTTAAGAGCGTTTGTTTTATTTATAAAATAAGAGCTTAAAAGCTCTAATTGTCCTCTGAAATTTAAGTGGTAAACATATCACTTAATATTTCTTAATAATAAACGCCCTCTATCAAATGGTTCTTATTTTGGGGGTTGAAAGAGATTTGTTAGCAAAAACTATTTATCTCTTATACCTTTGTAAAAAAAACTATTTATCTTTTATATTTTTGCATTAGTTTGACAGATTCATATTTCAGACTTCAGATGTAAAAACAAACAATTTTACTGATCCAGATTTCAGACTTTAGAACCACCTCTTATAAATCAGAAGTGAAATCAGACTTCAGATTTCAGCAACTCTTAAAAAACAAACGCCACCTAATTGAGATGCAAGCAAGTTGGCTTGGACACCATTGTTAAAATGACTGTAACTAATTTTAAAGTTTTTTAATTGGCGAATGTATACAAGTTGAGAATTTTATTCTTGGTTGCTTCTGCGATTTTGAAGTTGAAGTTTGTGGTCCATTAGTAGAGGGGATCATTTTCAATGGTTTTCTCAGATGCTAGCATTGCATCAAAAGATGAGAATATGTTAAAAAAATGTTCCTCAGTAAAGCATAATGATATTTACAGTAAATATTTAACTGCATGTTTTTGATTTTAAACATGCTAATACTTTTTTTTTTAATAAAAAGGGAATCAAATTAAATAGATCTATTAGAATAAAATAATAACAAGACAACAGTTGTAAAATGGTTAAAAAAATAGGTTTACAATAAATATGTATGCATATATAAGAACATAATGCTCTTAGCATCACTATCACAATAAAAATCACATAATTATTAGATGACCATCACATTAATCACATCATAAAAAATCTTCAATTTATCAAACCATTATCACATATTATTACGACAAAATCAAATTATTATCACATCATTATCGACAATAGACACATGACATAAAAAATCTCCGATGATAATAACAAAATTTAAAGGATAAAAATAAATTTATGATAACAGAAAATTGTGGATAAATATTTATTTTATTTTCATTTATTCTAACTTTTATTATGTGTTAGTTACTTGAAAGTCCATAAGTGTTCTTACATTTCATAAAATTGAGGTGTTCTCGTTTATATATATATATATATATATATATATATATATATTCAAAGCGTCTTCAACAATTAAAATGGAGGAAAAAAGGATTTCAGTAACTTTTTGCCCCAACAGTTATGATATATTGTACAAAGAGAAAAAATATTATTTTAATACTCTTTATTAATAAAAGGGATTGAAAATAAATGTTTAGTAGAAAAAAATATATTTTATTAAATGTAATGAATATTTTAATAATACAATTAATGTTAGAATTGTTAAAATAAAGTAGCTGTTGGAGTTGAATATAATTGTTTTTAAAATTTTTATTTTCAATACTTTATTTAAAAAAATTATGACGTAGCTGTTAGAAATGCTCTCAAGAAAAAACCATCTAAAAAGTGAAAAACTAAGAAACATCGGTAACCATTTCATTGGCTTTCTAATTACTAGATTATTTCGAATATGTTTTTACGGGTCTCGTATTCATATACCAAAAAGTATGAGGATGTAATTGTAATTTATATATAGTTTAGGGTGGTTACGGTAAATTTATACAGTTTTCTCCTTGCAAAATCGGTGGGAAACTGGACCCGTAACGAGAGATATGCTACATATAGATACAAAACATATGTATCTATATACGCTCACACACCCCGATATTTTTGCCTTCGTTCGTACACTCATTTCTTGATAAATATCTAGATCTGAAGCGCTCATTTTCTCTGCTGCTGATCTGCTTGCTTGCTTGCTGCTCCACAGATTGTTTCAGGTTTGTTGATTTTTTTATTTGACCTAAGTTTACTCCATAGGTTATAGTTTAAAGTTCGATTGCAGTTCATTATATGTTGTTCCAGTTTCAAACCGCTAGTTCTAAATCTGAATGTATGCCTTTTCGATTGGTTTTATGGAGTTCGAGATGTGTTTTTTTTTCTCTCGATTTGGTGTGATGTTGTAGTATTGTTGTCTGTGTGAGATTTACAGCGGAAAGGATTATACATTAAGGTGATTTTTTTTAGTATATTAAGATCTGGATTGATGTAGGGATTTGAGCTGGTTTTCCGTGAAATATATGGAAAAGAATGGATGAAACAAATGAAAGTGGTGGAATATTGTTCTTGAAGACCTATTTTCAGTACTGTTTGTTTCTTCTATTTCATTTTCGTTGATGCTTTTTTGATCAAGTATTTTATAATCAGTTGTGGATGCTCTGTTTTTGGTACTAATTTGCTTGAAGTCGCTTTGATGTGTATTGGTTTTGGGGATCTTATCTCTGCTTTTAGATTCTGGAACAATTTTATGCACAACTTACATCTATTGATCTATATCGCATCAAAAGTCGATAAAGAAACATGTTCGTTTCATTTAGATCTGCTCGTTTCTGTTTGAACCCCAAAAGGGGATTTTATGACTTGAAGAATCAATGAATTGAAGTACATAAAAGATGATCTAAATGTAAACATCGTATTAGGAGTAATCAACCGTGAATAAGTAATATGTATATATTTATGTAGACAAATTCACTGACAATGTAAAAGATGGACACATAAACAACAAGAACAATTGATAAAAATCTATAAATCTTACTTGAATTTGCAGATTCTTGTATAACGAAATTTAAATTGAGGCCTGCAGGTAGTAGTGTTCTAAGACAAAAATCCGCTGGTACTATTGGCTATTGCCTAGGGGATAATACAACAATCGAATTCAAGTTATACTTGAATCTAGCAAATCAAATGATGTTTTGGTGATGAAATCAGAGTGAAAAATGATGGAAAACCAGATAAATTTGTTTATACTTCTGCCCAGAAATGATACACATATTTATATGTATGCCTTCTCAGCCGAAATTAACTGCTAGGACCAACCAGGGAGTTGTGCGACCTCTAGTCGCGGGAATATCCGCGTAACTCTCTGTCCATGGAATAAAACTCCAGGTCCAAGACCCGTCTTTTGACCTGTAATATATATATGTATCAATGTGTGAAGCCCACAATGAACACGCAGACACCAAGCCCAAGTCCTTAAATCATTCATCTGAACCTAATAAGGGACAATGACAAGAGTAATTGGTTTTGGAATTGCTGAGAGTATTGACAGAATCTCTATATGCAGCCTTCTTTTTCAAATTTCAGCAAGTCCACAGTCCCAACTAATCTGGCATAAAAACTTGCTCGAGTTGACCTGAATGTTGACCTTCTGTTCTGTTTTGACAAGCTTCTGTTTTGTGATTTCCCGGTTATTTGCACAGTAATTTCATTGTTGGTTTTCCTGAATACATCAAGCACCTGCAGGTTACAAGCATGCCTCCACCTAACGAGAGTTCAAAGAAACCTGCTGACTCTCATCATTCCTCCCATCCTCCTCTAAATGAAAGAATACTTTCATCCATGAGTAGAAGATCAGTTGCCGCACATCCTTGGCATGATCTTGAAATCGGTACTTTATTTATTCTGATTACTTGATTTCTTAGAACGATTGTTCGTGTTCCTGTCATCTGTAATTATGTATTAAAATTCAAAAACCTGACTTCCTTAACAATCCAATGCAGGACCTGGAGCGCCAACAATATTCAACTGTGTAAGAATTAGACTCGATTCTGATTAAAGTCTAATTAATTGAAATCACTATCCCAAGGGGTCATTTAGGTAATATAACCTTAAATGAGATTTTAATTGAACTCCTAGCTTATTAAAGAAAAAATAGTTTTATACTCATCAGAAGGTCTTGGATTTAATTAAAATCTTGTTACAGGATCAGGATTTCTTTGTATTAAGAAATAGTATACTTTGGTATATAAGCTTAATTGAGATTTTAAATCCATGACCTTTTGATGAGTATAAAGCCATTGTTTCTTTGATGTGCCAGGAGGTGATGAATTTAATTAAAATCTCATTTAAGGTTAAAGAAAGAATGGCTTCATACTCATGATAAGGTTATGGAATTAATTGAAATCTCATTTATGCTTATATGCCTTTTATATGGGTAAATATCTCTGTTGCTTGAAACTTGTATTCTTTTAGGTGATCGAAATTAGCAAGGGGAGCAAGGTGAAATATGAGCTTGACAAAAGATCAGGACTTATCAAGGTAATGGAAGATGATGACCAGCATAAGAATTGAAGAAATAATGTTTTATACAAGTTTCGGTTGTGCTTTATCAGGTTGACCGTGTTCTATATTCATCAGTCGTGTACCCTCACAATTATGGCTTCGTCCCTCGTACTTTGTGTGAGGACAACGACCCAATTGATGTCTTGGTCATCATGCAGGTATGCAACATCTGGAAGTTCTAAACCTTAATGAATTCTTGTATCTATATCTATACTATATTATAAAGCATTTAGGTAATGTTTTCAAAAACAACTTATTAAGCACCAGCTATCATGTAGTCATACATAATCCCTTAAATTTCAAGTTTATATGTACAATTTCTTAAATCTCTTTGAACTCCATATAACTAACTAATAACCGACTGAAAAACACTTTCAACTAATGAAAAATCTATCATTATAAAGAACAAGTAACTGAAACTAAGATAAATTACATCTTTATTTATAAATGTAAAATATCTAAATTATGAGGAAAATAATTGAATTAAACAAGTTATAGCAAAAAAAAAAAAAACTAGTATTCAATTTGACGCTAGCAATGGTATATTTCTGTCGGGGTATTTTATATCGGATTTTCAAATTAGCAAGAGATGCTCAATTACCACTTTCAAAATATACATTTTGGATTTTATTTTTCAATGAGCAATTGCATTAATTTTCCCTTCTCGATTTATAATAAAATTTTATTGCATCCCACGAATACACAACCGTCACCAAACATTTCCGAAGCCAGTCTTACTGGGATCGTGTTACCAAGGTTTTGAACACATGTACAGGAACCGATCTTGCCAGGTTGTTTTCTCCGTGCCAAAGCAATAGGAGTCATGCCCATGATTGATCAGGTATTCATATGGTCTTAACCAACATTTACATGTCCGTTCTTTTTCCCATTGAAACAAGTTTACTTATGTTTATCGGCATCACCAGGGAGAAAAAGATGATAAGATCATTGCAGTTTGTGCTGATGATCCCGAGTATAGGCACTACAACGATATCAAGGAGCTCCCACCACATCGGTTGGCTGAGATCCGTCGCTTCTTTGAAGACTGTATCCTTTCAGAACTAAGTTATATTATGATACTTAGTGTTATGGACCACATATGTTATATAGGATGTGTCTGGTATACAGGACAAAAACTTGTCGTCCCACATTTGGCATGGCAGTTATATCGAGACCAGATATGACTGAGTGAGACAAAAATGCATTTTTCCTACCCCACTGAAGTAGGTGGAACAAAATGACAAGCTTTGTAAATTACTAAACTACTTATATCAAATTGAAACCTTCCACAATTCTTTTATCCCCAGTCAACCTATCTTAGCCTGTTTATTAGCATCTTAACGAGACTCGTTGCTTATTCAGTCAGCTATAATGACTGTTTGGTAGTGGCTTAATGATATAAAAAGTGGATTATTCTTTAAGGGGGGATGTTTATGTAGAAAACCAAGTTTTTCGTGAACCTGTCCCTCACAATTAAAGAACATGCTCCTTCCATATATGAAAAAACCCTCCCAAACAAAAACCTTCACAACTACACGAACAATTTTACTTTTTCCATACAGGACTTAATGGAAAACCAACCAAACAACCTCTTATACTTTCGCTTGTCCTGTCCAGTCTCATCCACGCATCAAACGTGCACCCATAAGAACATTGTTGAAGATGCAACTCTTGTTTATCTTAACAACTAGTTAGACAAGAAGAACGAGAATAAGGAGGTCGCTGTTGATGATTTCTTGCCGGCCGATAAGGCGATCGAGGCGGTCAAGCATTCAATGTAAGTAAAAACTTAAAATGCTTATAGAACACGTGAACATATGTATCGTATATGATCACAACATTATTAGCATCTCCTTGTTTCACATGTGAATACCTATATATCCACTTTTATCAAAGGAAGAATGGTCCCATCACATGAATTGTATTAAATATGGCCGACGGATTTACGATGCTACTTCTCTCACATGTTTCCGTGTTTTCCCTCGTGTTTTTGCTTTTATTTTGCATGTTGGGGTCTTCACAGGAACAATTTCTCAACCTCTAAGATAGAGACTAGGGATGGGATGAAATTTGTAATTGGATTGGATCAGATACAAAATCTCAATATCCAATTTGGGCTGGTTGGTAATGGATGACATTCCCAAATTCAATAAAAATGAACCAATCAAATCCAGTTATCTTACCAAAATTTATGTGGTGTTTTTTAGTAAATTAGAAAATAGAGTGAGATTAAGAGAAAAAACCCAAAAATTGAAAAACTAAAGAACAACACCCTGGTAGAGTAGTGGTAGTCTTTCATGTGTACAGTATGAACATGTGCATATTAGTAATTGAAGATGTTTCTTGGTGTCTATACACGTATTACTTAGTTAGGTAGTTAGGTAGTCGGTAGATAGACGGATTAGTGCTTTTACCCCAGGGTAGCCTTCCTTGTCTTGCTAATCCAATCTATTCTATTTTGTTTGAATAGTCCAGGTAGTTGACTACAGGATCSGATCCTCTGCCTTTGCCTGAAACTTTCACGTATACCGGACAAATTGCTTGTATGCATATGTCCATGATGTATATACGAATGGTTACCATGGTGTTTCTCAGTTTTTCAACTTTTTGGCGGTTTTTCCTTGATCCTGACCCTTAATATATATATAGTGTTGGGTTTCCGTGAGAAGAGAAGTTATGGTGAGAAGCGTAAGAATAGATTTTCACTCTTGGGTCAATCTTAATTGAATGTCAACGTTAATGAGGTGCACCAGATCAATTACCTTCTAAAGCAAAATTCATGGGTAGGCATGAGATTAAAAGTGACCAAGGGTTCATATCTCTTCTTATGCTTCTCACTTCTCAAACAATCCCTCGCTACATTATATAATTGGTTGAAAACTTAGATAAAAAAAATAATGGACGGATGGAATGATTGGATCAGTTGGCAATGTCCAATATCAATGGATGATCGGATAAGATCCACCAAAATCCATTGAATTTCAATTGATAAAACACCTAACATTATCAAGTCCAGTAAAATTGGCCGACGGTTTGTGGATTTCCAAACGCCTGTTACGACCGTATTTGTTGAAGTCTTGCATTGGCTAGACTTAGATGATTTTCCCTCTATATATGTTGGAATCTTTGTCTTTTACGTTATTGATTATTTTAGACAGTAATCTCTAATAGAGTCCACATATTCTCTCGGTATCTAATGTGGTATTCGGTTTTATGTTCTATGAAGGGATCTGTATGCAGATTACATTGTGGAGGGGTTGAGGCGGTAGATTTACGAGGAGTTCCGTTGTAATTCTACTTCCTTTACGATGGTGACGATAACGGAAAAAACTATATTATTTATCATCTCCCAAAAAATGACCAAATTACATGTACAGGCAGACCTGTTAAGCAAGAATTTGGTACTTTTCTTTGTTATATATAGACAAATCGTGTTCCATTTTTTTTTGTTATGACATCCCCTTTGAAGAACGTTGTGCTGTATCTCTAGTTAAAACACATAATTTATAAGGCCAAATTGCATGAAAAAGCAAAATACTTTAACTTGATTATTGTTTTGGTAACGTACTTTCAAAACTTTCAATTTGGTGCCTAAGATGTAAAGTTTTAAACATTTAAGTACCCGAGTAATCGGTTGAAGCATTAACCGGTTACCATGCTTATGTGGCAAGTGGTGTATTATCCAACTCAATATTATTTCCAACGTGGTTAGTGACATGAATTTTTTAATTTAAAATTAGTTTTCAACCAGTTATCTTTGGGTACTTAAATGTTTAAAATTTACATCTTAGATACCAAAATGAAAGTTTTGAAAGTACGTTATTCAAAATAAGAATCAAGTTAAAGTACGTTGTTTTTCATGTAAATTAATCAATTTATAATTAAAAAAACCACCTATGCTATCATTCGAGATAGATGACATATCTGCCTACATCAATGGACCAAAATATCTTGGGATTGTTTGGTTTTTTCCTCAAAACATCTCAAAACTTTCATCCCAAGGATAACGGTCATAATCAAACCAAACAATGTTGTTCTTTGACACATTAGCGACCCTCATACGTTACAGGTTACAGATAAATAACTCAAGATTTTTAATTGATGCAACAAACATTGAATTCCTAGTTTTTGTTTCGTACCAATTTTACCAGTCAACAACGTTGTAGTAATTGAGGAAAAAAAGTCATCCATAGAATAAATAAGGAATTAAGGAGTTGTTTGTTTACCTCCTAATCGTTCCATTAAGAGGCACCATCAGAATCCTTAAGAGGTGAATCTTGTTTGGTAAAAAAAATCTGTTTCTTAATGGTTCTAAAACGCTCTGAATGGTTTTTGTATCATGAGTCTCCCTTGGGTCTCCTTTAACCATTCAACGTTGTAAATAATTACCAAATAATTACATTTCATTTTGTACTATATCATTCTGACCACTTAATCATTCTGTATCAAACCATTCAATAACTACCAGGTAACCAAGTAGCCCCCAAGTCAAACCCGAGTGGACCATTTAATTTTTTTTTTTAATAAACAAATAAAGATACATTTATAAAACCAAACAAAACAAGCCTGGCCTTGTATGTCCCATCCAGAGATGGGTATATAGAGAGATATGATCTTTATCTCAAAGACAACCATTTAAAAACATTACAAATAGATAAGGAAGAAAATGAAAAACCAAACCAACCAAACCCAACAAACCCAATGTATCCCATCCAGAGGTGCGGTATGGGATATGTTGTCCTCTATCTCAAAAATGACCATTTCGAACATTGCGAATAAATAAGGATGCAAATAAAAAAAACAAACAAATACAGTATGTCCCATCCGAAAGTGAGCTCCAGAGGGGTGGGATGTAGGCAGACCTAACGTTTATCCCAAAGAATAGAGTGATTGTTTCCGTAAAAAAAAACCCAATCTGTGCTAAAAAAAGATGCAAATAATGGACCCAAAGGCAATGAAAATTGAGAACCCAAGGCAACCCTTTTGCCATGACCCTATTTTACTTGCAATCTATGATCTTTTACAGGTATATATAGATTATCAAAAACCCCCAACTATGCTAAACTTTGCACATTCTACAACTGAAAAGGACACAACAAAAAGGTTTGAAAAAGAAGAAGGTTCAACTTGAAAAGATCAAAACAATCTGTGGATGATCTCACCTGTTATATTGGATGTTTTTATGTGAAAGATCATCAGGATCTTAGAGAGGCACTTCAAACGAATTCGACCCGACTCTGATTCGAGCCACGAGGTAAGCTTAATAACCGTTCACGACTCTTACTGTCATTTCTATGACCATTTATTCTGAAAATCCTCAAATTAGTCGAGTGTTGGAGCAGATACCTGATTAAGCCGAACTCTTCTTGAATTACAGGTTCCCGGTTGCAGATTGTGATTTCTGTAATCTTATGGCGCAGACAACCGGGCACATACTCTGGTGGGACCCAATTCATGTTGAAGGCATATTGTATTCGCGGGAAAGGTACAAGTCCCTAAAGATTAACAAACAAATGCAAATAATTAGGCTACGAGGCTATGAAGAGTGACACGGACCCTACACTTTGACTCCAGGTCGAACATATTAATTTCAACTTTGAAATTGATGGAAATTGTTCAGCTTTTTGAGAAAATTTTGACAACTACATTTAAGCTTTATATTCGAATAGTGTGAGTCAAGGAGTTGATTTTGTGACAAAATCCAATCGAAATTAAATATCAAGATTCACAAAATGTGACCTCGAGACCAATTCAGGGGTTGAGAATAGAAATGGAAATCATTAATGGTGTCTGGTTTGATACAACGGAATAGGGGCATTACCAAATACCGGGTAATGAAGCATTCCTCAACAAATTGGGAGGAATAAAACTCATTCCCATTTCCATTCCCAACAATCTTATTCCCATTTCCATTACCATTCCCTTAAAGAAACCAAATATATGTGCCCATCTGAGGTAAAGAAAGTTGTAGGTATGAACTTACATCCGAAAAGGTAATATGCTCAAGATTAGGCATGTTGTGTAGGAGAGTTGGCAGCAAATTCCAGCCCCAAAGACAGTCGATGCCAACCACAAATTTGATCAAGTTAGCGAATGTGGGTATGTTTAAATTATGAACATAACTCAGAGCCTGCATAAAACAAACACTAAACATTAGCGTTCCAAAGCCAAATACACACATAAGATTTGAACTTTTTTCAGCTAGTTTGATCGTCTTGATTTCCGTTGGAAGGTATATTTAGCTCAATGACCTTCACCACAAGTTGGTTTCTCAAAATTATACTCCAGTGTATTTCTATGTTTTTATGAGATCGAAAACAACCGGGGGCAAACTGTTTTTTAACCAGTGACCGATCAGATGAAGGTCGTTGAGCTATACAAAATTTCGAAGCCCGTGCTCTTGATTGAAAACTTATTTTAAGGTCATTGATCCAAAGGACCCCTCTTGGAAATTGACAATAACCGTTGGAATATAGCTAAGACGAGCATTATTAGAAACGGGCGATTATGTCTAAACATTCAATGTAATTAGCACTTCAAGTTTAAAATTGGAATGATCTACTAGATATCTTTAAATGGATTAAACTTTGAAGATGGATAAGTAAGCATACCATTAAGGTTGAATCAGTCAAGGTCAAGATTTTGACTGGAGAGAGGATTGCAACAATTTGAGCAATAGATTCAGTATTGCTGTCGGTTCGAGCCTTGATGTTGGCTTCAACAAGAGACATCGGCATTGTCAAAGAGTAGTCAGTCGACATTACATCCAAAATGTATATATATTCCAGTTTAGGAGCATCGATCACAACCCTATAATTCCCAAGAATACACAATGCAAACGATATCCTTAACCTCTTTAAAGATGGAGATGAGACTTTAAATGTCTGCAAGTTATCGAATTGACCGATTACTTGTCTCTCCACAAACAATTCTTCCAAAACAGGACACCCAGAAATCAGATTCACAATCGATTCATCGCCAGAATAAAGAATGGATACCAGATTGATTTTCTTCAAACAAGGAAAAAGCAACTCAGCCTGAGGAACATCTAACACGAATTCACCTCTCAAAGTTAACGCAACAAGCGTATTGCAAGTCTTGAATAAATCCCAACAAAACCTAGCCCTAAATCGATCAGCTGGAAACCTAAGTTCAAGCTCATGAACCTTACACTTAACAATGGTAGAAAGCCATCCATAAACACGATCATAATCACAGTTCTTAGAACAGTAAAGAAAGAATTTCTCAATTGGCATACCACCTCGAAGTGCAAGTGCTTGATCAACGGAATCGTGAAACTTCTTGACTTCTCCAATTGACCAACAGAACGGCATAACGAAATGAAGATTTGGCAGAAACAACCAGAGATTCTTCCACCTGTTCGACAATACGCGAGTTCGATTCGCATCGGCATCGGGAAGCAAAGAGAGGATATATGTGAGTAGTGCATCAGGTAATCTGCTAATGATGTCTACTCCTTCATCCTTGATTACAACAAACCTGCAAGGAGCTCGTTTCACCCGTCTGCTCTGAATTTTGCGTGACCGCAAATTCATAATTTGTTGAGCAATTGAGAGAATTAGGGCTCCGATCAAGAATGTTTGTAGGGTTTTGAATTGGGGGTTTTAGGATTTCTTTCCCCAATTCAATTTGGGGAGCAGCGATTTAACCCGGATGAAGGTTTTATCTCTTGAAGAATGGATCCGGACTCCAATAATTTGATTTACACCAAAATCATTCGGGGGCTTTTTGGTAATTGCTGAATGATTTGGTATAAAATGCTTAAGTGGTTAGATTAAGAGGCTCCCATGATATAATGTAAAATGAAATATAATTGTTTGGTAATTATGTACAATGAAATTAGGGCTCTTAATGGTTAATGAGATATAGGATATAAAATTATTCAGAGGGTTTTGAAACCATTAAGAGGCAGACTTTTTTCTTGTCAAGCAAGATTTACCTCTTAACGATTCAGAGGTTGTCTTTTAATGAAACTATTTAGAAATAAACAAACAACCCCTAACATTATGAACAATTGTATAGCGAGTTGGATATTCAGGTTAATAAAAAAACAACTGTATATGAAATAATTGTCAGTGTTATCCTTTTTTCTATATCAGTTGGTTTTTGCAGATTGACGAATATGGTTTGTAAAAGACGATACAGCGTAAATTGTATACTGTTTTCCTGAAACTAGTTGATCATATGTCAAGATGTTGAAGGCGTATGAACGTTTGTGTGCAGTTTGGCAAATGTGGAAGGCAAGAAATGATGAACGGTTTTTATAGTTTTTTTAAACCAGTTGATGTTAGTTGAATCATGAATGTTAACAGTATAGGAATTAATAGACATGATTGCGGTTTGGCAAATCTGGTCGGCAAGAAACAACGCACACCTTATATTGTGTTTTGAACCCATATGATTATAAGTAGAAATATTAATGGTGCAAGAAGGGTACTCGTGCAATGCAGCGAGATATATCTCGATTTTAATGTTTCGTTTTATTTCTTTTCTGTAGATGTTATAATATGGTTTTTATGTGGTTTTGAGAAATGAATAATGTTTTTATTTTTGAATAAAAATATAAAATTGAAGATATCATAAAATTTCGAAAATAAATATATTAATATTAGTATCAAATTAACTATTTAAAAGTTCTTGTTTTTTGTGTAATTTCTTTAATTCAATTTTTTATTATAAGTTAATTTAGATTTAATAATGAAGTAATTTATTTTTGATTTAATAATATAATTTTTTATAAGGGTAATAATTAAGTATTCTGTTAGAACTCAATGATTATCATAATTATATTTTAGATTTTTTTATATTTAAAATAAAATGTTTATATTGTATTTAACTATGTTTAACTGCAGTTAGTTACATGAATTCAAAATGAAGCTTTAATAAGTTGTACTTACATACAATTTATTTGTAATCTTGAATTTTAAGTAATATACATCAATAAACAATATTTCATGCATAAAAAATGGTTTCTAAGAGCTTTAGTCAAATGCTTTATAATATAGTATACATATAAATTAATAGAAGTGATTACAGCTTGGCAAATCTGGTTGGGAAGAAGCGATGAACACCTTATATTGTGTGCTATGAAACCAGAGGATTTGGAGTAGAAACGTTAATGGTATATTGAACTAATAGGGAAAAAAACAAATAAATCTGAGATATGAGATATCAGTGCTGATATAACGTTATCGATATTTTTTTGAACATTGCATTTTAATAGGTGACGTAGAATGTCTATTATGTTGCAGAGTTTCAGGTTTCAAATAAGTAGTTGTTGAGTTTAAATAGCTACGTATAATTTTATATTTTGAATACAATCCGAAAAACAAGATTGTCTAAAACGTTGAACGAAGGCCCACTTTTCTTCATCATCCATTTCAGATATAATTGTTGTTAGAATTACCAATATTGCCCCTCTTTTTTGAATGTGCAGATAATCAACATTGGAAACCAATATTAATTTTTCATGTCGAGACCGTTGACGGGCCAGGCCCGAGACTGGTTATACAATTTCTTTTTAATATTTTTCAGAAATTAGATACCAAGATTTTTAAAATTTTCATACCAAAAACTTTAAGTGTTTTTGTAAGTTTTTCAAGTTCTTTTCGAAGTGGTTTTTTTAAATGTTCGAATATTAAATTTAAAAAAAAATTGTAATTGTAGAAACATTAACAACATTTTTGGTGAGAAGAATTTGAAAAAAAAAATTAAAGAATATTTGAATGACCCAATTATATATTTTAAGGTGTATATCAATAAAGATATTATATAAAATACAAAAATAAAAACCTTCAAACAAGATTTTTTATATGTCTAAAATTGATTTATGGGGTTAAAAATGGGTCGATTTGGACCCAATCCAGCACCAGTTCCTGGGCCTAGGCTTTGTATATGGAGAACAAGCCGGATGTTTTTGGTTGGGACAGGGACCAGTTACAATGAGACTTGTTACGAAATGAAAAAATCTTGGATCGAGACCGATTTTTGGCGATGTCCTACTATCCGATAACCCGCCGAAAAGAGTACACTATCTACGTGAGGGTTTTTGTCACACTGGGCCGATCTTTATCAAGTCATCAACTAGGCTTTTGCTTGTTGTCCAATTGTTCCGAACAAATTTCGTTATCCTCGATCATATTTGGCCCTCTAAACTTGTTCTACTCGAAACTAGTTCAAAGAACGAGTCTAACCATATATAATTCATCAAGTTTGAGTTAGAGAATACCTTGATTCGTGACTTTAGTTCGAACGAACCCTAGTCCACTTCTGCTATCGAATTCTCACTCGATCCTTTTAGGCAAATCCAAAGGGGGAATTCATGGGTGAGTGAGAGTGAACCTTCTGTCGTTTTATTTTACAAAAAGCTATGCTATTTCTTAAGTTTAGAGAAATGACAGAACAGGTCCCTGGTTTTCCTTTTTTAAGTTACAGATTATTTTCTCTTTCAGCCCAAACTAATTTTCTTTCTTCTTCCGTGTGTAACAAAATTCCTTAAGCTTCATTGGTTCTTAACATGACTGAAAATTTAGGGCTGACTGGTTGGTTTTTATGAAGTTATATACAGATAAAGTTGTCTAAGGGGATTAATCTGTATTTGTAATTCAAAGGGTAAGTTGCAAAGATTCAATAGCAACCCATATAACTAGAAGGAAAATCCACAACTCCAACCCCCTCTCATTCATCACAATCTCACACATCCATCGTCACCATTTCAAACAAAAAACCCACCAGTTTCTGAAATCTCTGGCCTATTGAAAATAAATGTCTGTTTACATCCATCTCACAGTTTTCATCTCCCACTAATGTCCCAAAATACTGTAAACCACCATGACACCCCAACCCCACCACCACCACCTATGTTTTGCAATAATTTGAACTCTTCATCAATACGCCAATGGCAGTTGAGCACATTTTAAGAAGTGTAATTGCTAGATTGATGTGATCGTAATCACAAATGTTGTTCTGAAGTTTTTGGGATCATTACAGCGAAAGGTGATCTAGAGGACTCGGATTCATCAAGGAATTTTGATCAAGTCGCCACAGGATTAAGTATATGTTGATTCATTGTTTATGTATTGATTTGAAAGAATTATGTGATCAGCATGAATCGATCTGTGAAAACTTTAAAATCTGGATCTCCTCCAAACCCTAGCTTCAAACACATCTAATTACAAATCAAATCACGATAGATTTTGAAATTAAGCATCAGGAAACAGATGATGTGGATTTAAGAACTTCGTTTGTCAAAAGGAAATTGTATATCAGAGAAATATGAGATCTCGATCTCGGAAAAAGAATAATCGACATTGAAGAATTCAAATAGGAATCGATCAAATCGCATATTTTCATTTGACATCCGACTACGATCTAAGAACTCGTAAATTTCGTAACGGCTTTTGTACCTTCAGAAACAGCGTGTTTTGCCAATTCGCCGGGTAACACAAGCCTGACCGCCGTCTGGATCTCGCGAGAAGTGATCGTTGGCTTCTTGTTGTAGCGAGCGAGACGGGACGATTCCTGAGCGAGTTTTTCAAAAATATCGTTGATGAAACTATTCATGATCCCCATGGCTTTACCTGAGATTCCAATATCAGGATGAACTTGTTTCAAAACCTTGAAGAGATAGATCTTGTAAGTCTCACTGCTCTTCTTGATCTTCTTTTTCTTCTTATCAACACCGCCGCTGGATACGCCTTCTTTCGGAAGCTTCTTCTCCGCCTTGGCTGGCTTCTTATCCGCCGTCGATGGCTTCTTCTCCGCTGGTTTCTTCTCACCCTTCGTCGGCGCCATTATCGTGTGACCAGAATGAAGAAAGAGAGATAAATCGGAGAGTTTTTGCGATTGATGAACGTGAGAGGTGTGCGTTTGGTTTATATAGGAGTCGTGGGTTGGTTCTGATTGGTCGAAATTTGTTCCACTCGGATTGTTGACATTGCCCTATTCACACGTGTCATTTTCTTTTCTCACACGCTGCAGAATATTTGTTTTGCGAGTTTTCTTTGTTTATAACCAAATGAAATGAAAAAAAAAAAAAAAAACTGTTTTGTGAATTATTTTTATTAATGAAATTTCTTGCTTTGAATTATTAAAGTATTTTTAATAGTTTTCATAAATTTAAAAAAAAATACACATTTTTATACAGATTATTTATTTTAGAGATTTTAACATAAATTATATTATTATAATATTTTCTAGTTTATTCATGGTCGTTCTTTAACATGTTAAATGTGAGATTTTGAACAGGGCCCCCGAAAAATTAGGGTCCAAATTTACATGTGTTTAAGGTCTTTTATCGACCTGTGTAAAATTACAGCCAAAATTATTTAGATTCAAATTATTAATTGTTTGGTTTTTAGGTTCAAATCAGTAATGGTTTATATTTAGTTTCAGATTGTTAATCGTTTTAGGTTTAACAATGTAATCAAAAGTTTTAGATGTAACTGAACCTCCAAAACAATTGGAACGTCCCTGAATTCATTATTCCAATACAATTTTTTAAACTTCTTATAAAAAAAAATTCAATCTCATTGTTGGAATTAGATAAAATTTCACAGCATCAAGCTTTATATAATTATCTATATTTATAATTTTTTTCATGATTTTCTATTCTAGAGAACAAGATGGTAAAGCTGTTAGAGTTTTTTATAGAACAAAAACTCTTTTTTTACCAAAGTGCCTTTGGCTTATCGGTTCTGTGAATATTTGGCCTCCTAGCAGGTCAAAGGTGAATAGGGTGTGTGAGTTTATTTGTTCTATTTTACCGTATATAAATATTATATATTTAAAAAAAAACTCATTTTTTCTATTTTAGAGAACCTGTTAGAGATACTCTTAAGTTTTTTAACAATTTTTATAAATGAAAGATAATTTGAATTTTCCCATTTTAATTAATTAAATTTTCAAAATTCATTAAAAAACCTTCTTGTTTAAAATAATTTTTTAATCCAAAAAAATAGTTCATAGATTAGAGCAATCAAAAATAGAAAACTTCATTAGTTTTTATGACATTTTTACAATCCAACCCAATTATGGTGGTTTGAAAAATCTGAACTCAATCCACCAAAGTACTGCTTCAAATACTGGAGTCTTTTGATTGATAGGTTCATCAACAAAATAATTATTTGGTACGTTCATTTGTTGTTGTTGCAAAAATGATTCCAATAATTTTCTCCTATGAGATTCTTTACAAATTAAAATGAGCAGAAAATGAACATAACCCGTTGTCTAGAAGCAATAACAAGCATACTTGTCGACATAAACGATAACAGTAACCCGGACCCTTCCCCATCCCGGTTTATATATCCTTAAGACATTACCAAACAACCGTGTAAGCTAACTGAATAAGTTGTAAGTTTCATTAAACTGTTAACAGTCATTGGCAGGGGTGCTCATAGGTTGGATTGATCGGGTTTCAACCCGATGTTTACGGTTTTGAAAAATCTCAACCCAACCCAAATAAAAACAAGGTGCAACCCAACCCAAACCATACAGATTGGCCGACTTGATAGTTTGGTGCATCAAGATATTTCTTTGACCTTGATTATGTTGTTTTTTTCTACTCCACTCATAATTTATGTTTCACCATCAACCATTTGGTACAACTTATCCATACTTATTAAATCTTAAGTATATCACATTCAATTAATTTTCACAAGTTGCATATATGCATGTTCACAGTTATTTAACATATATACAAGTGAATTATATAGAGATGAAAATATATGTACACAAAGAAGGTATGTGAGGGTGTAATTGTATAATGTACATATTAATAGAGACTCGAGAACCATATTAAATTCAAGAAATAAAATGATATTAAGTTCATCGGGTAGGGTCGAGTTCAAATAAAAACCCAATATCTACAGTTTGAAGATTTTATAACTCAATTAGATATCGAACTGCTTCAGGTTATGTTACTTCACGTTTGGTTGAGTTGATCGGGTTTTTTGCACCTATAGCCTCAAAATAAATATTAATTTATTGGAAAATATCTAATACTATATGACAAACCATTTGACAAAACCTCTTAAGAATTTTTTTTATGCATAAAGTACTGTTAATTTATGCCTACTACTTAAATTTCAGATTACAAGCAGATTGTGCATAAACACAAATTTAATTAACTTATTAAAGCTTCATGTATGAATTCGTGTCACTAACTGCAGATAAATATAGTCAAAGACAAGATAAATATCCCATTTTAAATGTAAAAAATATAAAATATAATCAGAACAATTATTGAATTTTAACAAAATACTTATTTATTATTATTATACAAAATTATCTGGTTAAATAAAAAATAAATTACTTTATTATTAAACTTAAATTAAATTATTATAAAACATTGAATTAAAGAAGTTATATATAAAAAAAGAATTTTTAAATAGTTAACATATTTTTTTTTCAAATTTTTTATTATATTTTCAAATTTATGTTTCCCTCAAAACTATATAAGATCGTATTATAACATCGATAGAAACACAAAATAACACGAAACATCAAAATCAAGATATATATATATATATATATATATATATATATATATCAATACGTGACGTGAGTAACCTCCCGATAATATTCTAAAGGCCAAAATGTACAAAATAGCAATCTACTTTCATAAATTTCTTTATTATAACATTCATTGTACTTTGGAAAATTTACCCATTATAGCATTGAGTAACCTTTTAATTTAAATTCACCTATTATACCAGGTTTCCGTGCCACCTCATTGTCTACGTAGGCTGTACATATGTACTATAATGATGTGATTTTCTTACTATATCATTGTAGTTTCAAAATTATTGTATTATAACATCTACTAGTTATTATTAAACATTGTATTTTTAATTTTAACAATTAAAAAAAATTCTAAATTATTCATTAATATATCAATATCAATAAAACTAGTAGAACACAATTTATCTCAGTAATAT